AAAATTTTATTTTTGCCCCTAGAAGGCCTAAAGGTGCTCTTTGGATGCTGGGCCCCTCTATGTAGCCAGGCTGTGGAAAAGTCTCACACATGTGGTATCACTATACTCAGGAGGAGGAGCAGAATGTATTTTGGGGTGTAATTTTTGGAATGTACATGCTATGTGTTGGAAATATCTTATAAATGGACAACTTTGTATAAAAAAAAGCTTTAATTTTCCTAAAATTTTTGGCAAAAAATTACATATTCAAAAGACTCATTACGCCTCATCAAAATACGCTGGAGTGTTCGCTTTCCAAAATGGGGTCATTTTGTGGGTGTTTCCACTTTCCTGGTGCTCCAGGGCCTTTAAAGATGTGATAGGTTGTCAGGCTCTTTGGCCTTGCTGGAGCACATGAAGTGCGGCTTCACAAGTAACAGTTCGCTGAGGATCATCATGCAACTGGCTATCGAAGAAAGATGACATAATGTGAAGCTGTGCATTCTTTTTCTCTAGCAACTGCTGAGCCCAAGTCTGAGGTTCACCCTGAAGTAAAGAGATGATAAATCCCACGTTCGTGGATTCCAAAGAAAAAGTTTGTAGTTGCAGGGGGAAGTATAACCGACATGCGTTATGAAAAGCTCTGAAATTATTTTGATCCCTTGAGAACCTTTCTGGTGTGGGAACCCTGGGTTTAGGAGGCCACATCATCACTCTAGATGCATTAGCAGTCTTTGTTGGGGCTGTTTCAAAGAAGCAGATGCTGTAGCAAAATTTGTAGATGTAGCCAGGGTTTTGCACACGTTCTTTCAGATGGACGTAGCCTTCCTGCATAGATGTGAGTCAGGATGGTGAGGTGCTGGCAGATCTCATCCATAGGAGAGGTTCTTCTTGCAGGCTCAGACATGGCTGTCTGATACTGTTACTTCCCTTATTAAGGAGCGTGACATGTAGAGGAAGGCCTCTCGTACAGCTCCGGCTAAGAGGCCACTGAAGTTGGAACAGCAACCATGAGAGCATGGTAGGATATGAGTGCCTGATCAGTCCAGCAGTCTGGAATAGCTGATGTCTTGCTGAATGCATGACAGGAGTGAAGCAGCTGGCTTTAGGCAGACATCACTGCAGAGCAGGCTGGCCGCAGGTGCTTCAGTAGAACAGGCTGGCCGCAGGTGCTTCAGTAGAGCAGACTGGCCGCAGGTGCTTCAGTAGAGCAGACTGGCCGCAGGTGCTTCAGTAGAGCAGGCTGGCCGCAGGTGCTTCAGTAGAGCAGGCTGGCCGCAGGTGCTTCAGTAGAGCAGGCTGGCCGCAGGTGCTTCAGTAGAGCAAGCTGGCCGCAGGTGCTTCAGTAGAGCAAGCTGGCCGCAGGTGTTTCAGTAGAGCAGGCTGGCCGCAGGTGCTTCAGTAGAGCAGGCTGGCCGCAGGTGATTCAGTAGAGCAGGCTGGCCGCAGGTGCTTCAGTAGAGCAGACTGGTAGCAGGCAGGCTGACAGCGGGCAGATGACACAGCAGAGCAGGCTGGTAGCAGGCGAACCTGGATGCAGGGTCAGATGTGCCAGGTCAGTAACAGGCAGGCAGGTCAAACATAGACGGCAGGCAGAAGAGTAGTCAGGTCACAGGACAATGTCAACAGCAGTGAGGAAGATCAGGCAGGTACCATAGGCAGAGACAGAAGAAGCAAGCCGAGGTCAGTGCAAGTAGTGTTCAAGCGAGGTTAGGACAAGCGGGTCAATCAGAGTATCAATACAGGAACAGAAAAGGAAACACAGGGAGAGCTGCAGATCAGACAGCAAATCATTAGCACAACTGCTGCACTTACCTAGGCCAGTAGGCACCAGAATTAGCCAATGCGCATTCCCGTGCGCACCCGCAGGCTCATGCGCATATGTGTGCACACAACTTGGACTTTCGGTTATCTATAGCCTAACTATTCATTGTGTTTTTTGTATGTTTTTACATTAAATATATGTACTTAATTTCTGTTTTATCTTAATAGTTTCACCCCACCCTGTTTTGTTAATAAAGCTTCAAGATTACATTCAGTCTGGCTTATTCCAGAGCAGGAGGGTTTAACTGCATGTCGAGTTACACACAATTCGGATGGAAGACAGAAAGGATGTGAGGCTGGGAGGTGGCCCCGATGGAGAGGGACTCACCTACAGACAGTGGAGCTTGGAAAGAAGAAAGCTCAGACCCTCACTGGCCCCTAGAGCAAGGACCCCCTGTGTAGCAGGGAAGGAGTGGCCCAGTTAGAAGGCCTGGTAGCAGCCACCAACCCATCAGTCACACAGGAGAAGTGAGTGAGTAAGCCTGCACCCCCTGGGACAGATAGGGGAAGGAGCACTCTGGGAAACCAGATTAGCCACCTCATAGGACTGTCTTCTTTCTTAAAGTGGAAGACACCGAATCCCCTGCTCAGGGATTCCTCCAGACAGCTGGGTAAAGAAAAGGATTTATCTGGGGTCTGGGGAGGTACTATAGGAGATGCTGGCTAGCTCTTCAAAAGAGATTGTTTTGCTGTAGAGATTTGTAAATAGTTCCAGGAAGTTTTCCTTGGTTTTTCGGTTCCATTGGGCATCCCATACATTCCTTACCCCATTCCAAGTTGAAATTCCCCTAATAAAATCCAAAAACCCAAGCTAAAGGACTGGTTCCTGACTACGGGATGTAAGTTTGTGAAAAATGCTTGTTGCCTGGCTGTGCAGGACTATAGGGGGGGCCCAAATACTCAGCAACTCTTAAAGGGGTGGTGCTACACTTTACTTACACTCACCAGCCACTTTATTAGGTACACCTGTTCAATTTCTTGTTAACACAAATAGCTAATTTGCCAATCACATGGCAGCAACTCAATGCATTTAGACATCTAGACGTGGTGAAGACGATTTGCTGAAGTTCCAACCGAGCATCAGAATGGGGAAAAAAGGGAATTTCAGTGACTTTGAACGTGGCATGGTTCTTGTTGCCAGATGGGCTGGTCTGAGTATTTAAAAAAAACTGCTGATCTACTGGGAATTTGACACACAACCACCTCTAGGTTTTACAGAGAATGGTCCAAAAAAGAGAAAATATCCAGTGAGCGGCAGTTGTATGGACAAAAATGCCTTGGTGATGTCAGACGTCAGAGGAGAATAGAAAGACTGGTTGCTGAGATATTCAGATGGTAGTGTCAGAATATCATGAAAGCATGGATGCATCCTGACTTGTATCAACGTTTCAGGCCAGTGGTGGTGGTATATTGGTGGGGGAGATATTTTCTTGGCATTGGCAAGGTGTATCTAAGAAAGTGGTCGGTGAGTGTATAACTTAATCATATTAGAGAAAAAAAAAGTAGATATAGTTATAACAATTGTTTTTAGTAGTTGTTTCTGCAGTATTTTAGAGCACATTCAAATACATATAAAAGATGCCTGACATGTACATTTACTTTATCTCTGCTTGATTCTAATGGTTCACAAAGAAAGAGATGACCTGTTGGACAGTTATATCTGTTATGGTAAATTTGTCTAGTGCTGATTGTAGGATCATTGTTGCAAACGTTCTAAACTTGTAAGACATTTATTTGGTCAACTGTTTAAATGTTATCTTCTATGTAATAAAATAATACAGTATCTCTGTTTTTAAAAATGTCCATGAACTGTTCAGGGGAGGGCTGAGAACAATTGGCCGCGGGGTCAAACACAACCAAGAAGCCATTTTATGGAATAGATAGAGTGTGCCATGCAGGGCTTTTTTTTCTCAAAGAATAGGTGCAGGTATTCCCCCCTTCTAAGTTACCCCTTGTCTCCGTCTTCTACCCACCTCTGAGGACCGTCCATTAGTTTCACCCCCTACCCACCTCACAGTAACACCCTTTTAGAGAATACAGAACCAAGTATAATTTTGTAGTGCTACGTAATTTGCATGGAATGTGTTATTGATAACAAGGAAAGCAGGAAAATAAATCTACAACCAGGTACAATATACCCCCGAACAATAGATCTCTGAACAACAAGCGTCAATAGACCCTTCAGCAGCCAGCAACAATAGATCCCTCCCTCAAAAGTAAATCTCTCTCAGCAACATAACACCCCCACCAGCAACAACTGTTCCCCCACCAGCAACAAAAGACCCCAATAGATCCCCCAGTAGCCAGCATCATTAGACGCTCCAGCACACCCCAGAACCCCTCGGCATTACATACTTTCATTGCTGGAAGTGTGTTCCCCCATGTTCCCACTGAAAATAAGCCCTGGTGCCATGGCCGTGCAGTGATTGGTGTGTGTGGTAAAAAATGGGCAAGGAAAGGACATGGTTTATTTTGGCACACCTTTTGGCATCTTCCAGCAATGGCTTTCTTTGTGGCATTTGGGATCATGCTGTCACATGACATCTTAGAGCCACAAGGGATGTTGGTGCTTGAAGACCTTTGCCAGACACTGTGAGCACAGTTCAAAACAGGGAGCAGACAGATGTAAATAATGGTCAGCATGGGTTACTGACTGCAAGTCCCAATCTGAATGAGGTCCAAATGGTAAATTATCTCTATTCAGGGCCACTAAACCAATATATTAATAATATATGCCCAGGAGTCAAATGCCCCATAGCTCAGACCTTACCTGGATCTTAATAAAGCAATGTGTAAAAAACAGATTTTCCTGATAAAAAAAAGCCATTTTACCTGTTTAGCATGGGAATGACAATGAGATAAAATACAGAGATACATTTTTATTGGTCCGTTGAGTATTTAGAAGATGGCCTAAAGTACATGACCATTGCCATCCCATAAAATAAAATCACCATGTTAATTTGTGACATGCATGTGGACATCATCTTTTGACGTCTTCCAGCACCAGTTTCCTTTGTGGTTCTTAGGATCATGCTGCCACATGACATCTTTGAGCCACGGGAAGATGGTGCTTGAACACCTTTGCCAGACACTGTGAGCACAGGTCAAAACAGGGAGCAGACAGATGTAAATAATGGTCAGCATGGACTATGTCCAGGGCTCAAAGGTCCTGTACCTAAGTCCCTCCCTCGATCTTATTAATGCAATGAGTGAGAAACAGATTTTCCTAATAAAAAAGCCTTTTTCACCTCTTTGTTCTTTAAACTATATATGAGAGGATTTAGCATGGGAATGACAATGACATAAAATACAGAGATAAATTTTTCTTGGTCTGTTGAGTATTGAGAAGACGGCCCGAAGTACATGACCATTGCCGTCCCATAAAATAAAATCACCACGGTAATATGCGACGTGCATGTGGAAAAGGTTTTGGAACGTTCAACAGAGTGGATTTTTAGGACTGATGATATGATGCAAACATATGAGCAGATAATAAGCATAAAAGGCAGGAGAAGGGTGAAAAAACTGATTGAAAATATTACGAGTTGATTCATATATATATTGTCACAAGATAACTTAATAATGGCTATAACCTCACACATAAAATGGTTGACTTGGTTTGGGTTACACACTCTCATTGGCATTAGAAGAGATGGAACCACAGATATAAAAAAGCTTAAAATCCATACAAAGGAGGCCAACCAAAAACATACACTCCACCTCATAAGGATAGGATAGTAGAGAGGGTGACAGATGGCAACATAGCGATCATAAGCCATGAGGGCTAGGACAAAGCACTCCGTATCTCCTAAGAAAATACTGATATATACTTGGATGCCACAACCAGTGATTGAAATTATTCTATCTCTGGATAGGAGGTCTACTAGAAGCTTGGGCAAAGCTGTGGAGGAATAGAAGAAGTCAATAAAGGATAAATTGGAAAGAAAGAAGTACATGGGAATATGTAAATGGTGGTCGGTTTTTCAAGATTATGCAAATCATAAGACCATTTCCAATAAGAGTTATAAGGTAGACCACAGAAAACAATAAAAACAGTGCAATGTTAATGTTAAGATTTTTCGAAAAGCCCAACAGAACTATTTCAGTGGCCAAGGTACTGTTGTTAATTTCCATCAAAAAAAGAGCCTTAAAAACAAGAAAAAAAAGTAAATTAATTTAAAAACATGAGAGATTTAGCAACATATCATATAAAGATAGCAAAGACAATTATATATGCAGCACAGGTCACGATAAATAGTTTTCAACCTTCTGGATAGCTTTCTCTCAATCTTATCCTAATGTTCAAAATGTTTGAAATGTTCAAAATGTTCAATGAAAATATAAAAAAAAAAAAAACGCATAACATTAGTTTATAAATCTAAAATCCTCAGCAAAACAGGCTTTTTGTAATGTAATACAATTGCATTACATTAATAAACATGAACAGACAATATATCCATTGGATTATAATACATATAAAAATGTCAATATTTCAGGGCAAAATGGAATAAAACAATAGACATAAAACACACAAGGGGACAACAGGAAACATTTAAAGTGTGGTACAACTTACATTCTGGTCCCCTTTATATAACAATCATGATTTCTTTTGGGGCCTTCAGTGAGTTACAGACTCATGGGATCATTTATTTTCTTCTGTAGATATGAAAAAAAATATATACCATAGATGGATATTAAGAATAGGATTTTCCTTCTTAATTGCCTATTATGGAATGAACTTTTAAAAAAAAATGAAACTTAAGATCAACATACTCATTGGGTTACAAAATTAAGAAAAAATTGGGTGCACCCATGTTTTAAACTGAGATGATAAAGTGTTCACTTGTGAGCAGATGCACTTATTTGATTTGGTTGCTGTTTATTGGTAATGGCCACTGCACTTGTGTTGAAAATATTGTTAGGTTTTTAGCCTTCATGCAACATAGCTTACTAAATATATAAAGAGGCAGGGCTTTTTTTCCCAGAAATTAGTTGCAGGTACTCCCCCCTTCAGAATCACTATTGTCCCTGCACCCTACCCACCTCCAAACACCGCATCCTGGTTCCACCCCCTAGCTACCTCCCAGTACCATCCCTTTTAGAGAAAGCAGAATCAAGTATTCGTTTGTGATGCTTGCTAAGTAATTTGTATGTAATTTGGTATTGATAAGAAGAAAAGCAGTACCATAAATCCACTGCAGCTAGCAAAAATAGCCTCTCCCAGCAACAGTAGCCCCCCCCCCCAGCAGCATAATACCCCCCTAACAACAACAGACCCCTCCCTCAACAACAGATACCCCAGCAACAATACCTCCCCAAGCAGCCAGCATCAATAGACCCTGCAGCACACCTCAGCACCCTTTGTCATTATGCAGGCATCAACAGCGAGGCTCTTACTTTCCATTCATCATACATCAGCATCAGAGGTTGGTCATCAGCTCTGAGGAAAGGGATTCGTCCCCGAAACGCGTCAACCATTTGACCGCACTGACAGTGAGAACACCTTGCCTGCCGTTGTGGCCATTGTATTTTCTATGCTTTTTAGATACATGCTTCGTCTGTGAGTATGTTTTTATTATTTCACTCCTACAATAAACCTTGGATAATGCACTAGGTGTGTGCGCCACCTGTTTTCTCTCTATCCAATGGCTGATTTCCCCGTCTGAGGAGGGCTGCACCCCTGGAGCATTTCCTTTAGTTGTCGCTGTCCTGGTACCCTTGGCTTCCCTTTTGGCTGTGCATATCCTGAGGCGCTGGAGAGTACATATGATATCCGGTTCAAATTACCCACTCCTGACCTGGGGAGGTAGTGATGAAAAATAAGAAAAAATAGGAGGACTCTTTCAAGGCACCTCCTTCAGGGAAACCTCTTTTCAATAGGGTTATATATTCTGCCTTGCTTTCAGAGCCATATGCACTTACCTCTAGTGCAGGTATCACAGATGGCAAATATTGTGTAAAACTATAAGATGTGTTCTCTCCAAAGCCCAAAGGCATCAAGACCTTTGGATAAGAAAGGTGCCATGGGTTGGGTTACCTGTGCAGTGCCAAGACCCCCCATAGGTGGATCCTTCAGTTGGCTACTTAGCAATGTGATTGTGCTCCAACCATGGCCTGGAGTATCTGACCTTCACAGGGTCGTTTGTAGAGTAAAGCCCCTTAATATCCTACAGCTTGAAAAAAAAAAAAAATTCATACAGGACAGCACTAGAACACAAAAATGGTTAAACAATTATATCGATATATAAAACGTCTTTATCACAGTCCAAAACAAATTGAGCCCCGTCTGTCAGGTAGGTCAAATATCACTTAGGGGAACCTAATTAACAAACCTCTCGCCCATCTAAATCTTCGTGACAGGAAATATTACTCTCGATAGGTCAGTGGCCAATCACGATATCCATAATAAGGTGACACATACACAGGTTTAAATGGCAATTAAAGGTTAATTTCCCACATCTGTGGCTTTTTAAATTATAATTAGTGTCTGTGTATAAATAGTCAATGAGTTTGTTAGCTTTCATGTAGATGAACTGAACAAGCTGTATACTGAGCCATGGGAAGCAGAAAAGAACTGTCAAAAGGCCTGCATAACAAGGTAATAGGACTTTCTAAAGATGGAAAAGGATATAAAAAAAGATATCAAAAGTTTTAAATATGCCAGTCAGTACTGTTCAATCACTTATTAAAATGTGGAAAATTTGGTGAATTCTTGATACCAAGCAAAGGTCAGGTAGACCAAGAACGATTGCAGTCACAACTGCCAGAAGAATTGTTCGGGATACAAAGAAAAACCCACAGGTAACCTCAGGATAAATTCAGGATGCTCTGGAAAAAGACGGAGTGGTTGTTTCAAGGAGCGCAATACGATGATAGTTAAACAAAAATTAGCTGCATGGTCAAGTTGCCACAAAAATGCCTGGTTACAATATGCCTGACAACATCTTGACATACCTCAACAAAAGTTAAAGTAAAAAAAAATCCCAAATTTTGGGTTGTCCCCAGACCAGTAAGAGGGGAAATCTTCCAGTGGGGGACACTAGTTATGTTGACCCTGGTGGCGACTGGAGATTCCCTCATTTTGGAGGGATTTATTCTCACTTCCTGTTTTGGCTATGGATCAGGAATTGAAGGTAAAACTCCCAATGGGATACAGATGGCAAAAATAAAATTGACAGGACCTACTCTATCCAACATTAAATGAAAAAAAATGTTTTGTCTTTAGTTCTACTCAAATCAGTCCTCTGTAACATTCCAGAATGGTGCTGTTCTCTGTAGTAGCTGTGGACTTCAGATAAATTCAGATTTTTTTTTTTTTTAATAAGAAGAACAAACCTCTTTTTGTTATAATATCCCAAAATTCAGATTTTTTTCCAAAAATTTAAAGAGGCAAAGGAAACTCTTTAAATGTAGATTAACAAAATACCAATATTAATGGGACCAGGTCTTGAAGTCTCCCAACATTAACCACATAGCCCTCCTTCCACAGAGTGATTGAAAATAAGCTGAAGTTTCACAAACTGTAGAGTAGCCTTTAGGGCCAGTTCACACTACATGCGTTGCTTTTTTTCTGCATCCAAAACACACCGAAAGTAGGTCGTATGGTTGTCAATGTCATAGTTCACATCAGTGCTTGCAGTTTCAGTGCGTTCCGGATGCAGAAAAAAAAAGTAGAGCAGGCTGCATTTTTTCTGCACAGAATTGTACTGGAACGCGGTAAAACGCATCAAAAACACACCAGTACACACCAAAAACGCATGGAACACACATTTCTCTATTTAAAAAGAAGAAAAAGAGAGTGGGAAAATTAACTGGAACACATCAAAAACACACCAGAACATGTCAAAATCGCACCGTAAACACATCCAGAATGCATCTGGACTGCGTTTCTATAGCTTGTTTTTAAATGTTTCCTATATTTTGGTTCTTGAAAGTTATATGCATTTCCCCCACTAGGCAGCACCTCAGTACTTAGCATGGTAAAACAGCCGATGAACATGTTACATGTGCTACAGTCTGCAAACTTCTATAGCTGCAATGAAAATATATTCTATGAAAATACTTTCCCCAGGCTGGAGCCACATTTATTACTGTTGGTATGAAAAGCAGTCACAGCCATGGTCTTCAACAGTTATTTATTACTGACACCTATAAGTGGCATCAGGGGGGGCAGCCCATACACATGTAGGGGACCCCGGGTGTCCCTACAGGCCCGGGCCCCAACCAAGACCATCTTTATTGCAGGGCAAAAGCAGTGTTGCCAACCGTCTGTAGAATTATGGATGGTTTGTAAAGCACCGGGCACTTGAGAGGACATGAAGGAGATGAGACTGCAGGAGGAGGAGGACATAGGAGGATGGAGGAGATGGGACTGCAAGAGAAGGAGGTAATGGGATGGAGGAGATGAGACTGGAGGAGGAAGAGGATATTGGATATAGGAGGACATGGGATGGGGAGATGAGACTGGAAGAGTAGAGCATGGGATGGGGCAGATGGGACTGGAGGAGGAGGACATGGGATGGAAAAGGAGGAGGACACCCCCATCACTCCAAAGGGACACAGGTACTTGTTAAAAGACATTATCTGCTAGACTGATAAAGGTGTAGAACCTCTGCTGTGAACTTATAATTTTGTGTCCCCATTAGGGAGATTTTCCTCACTTAATCCACAGGTCTGCATTTCACCACAGGTCAGGTGCAATGCTTTGGCCAATCACAGTGCATGATGATGTCACAAGGAGCGAGTGACCCCACCCCCTAGTGACATCATCACAGTATTTAAAAATCACTTGCCGACTGGTGATAGCCATATGACGGCTTCACCGCGGCCAGCCAGTTCTTAGAGGGCATCATATGATGTCCTCCCATGATTGTGCTTCCCGTGCAGTGGGTCTGCTACAGTATCGGAGGAAGAAGAAAGTGTGCCTACCAATCGAAGGTGTTCTGGTGAGGAGCAG